TCTAACCCTAACCCTAACCCTAACTCTAACCCTAACCCTAACCCTAACGACCTAGAAATGACTTTAATTTAAATTTAAGAATGGAAGGATCAATTTCGTGCAGGGGGTGGAAGCAAAATAAAATATTGGCGAAATGGGAAACTGGCGAAATGGGAAAATGGCGAAATGGCAAAAAGGCGAAATGGGAAACTGGCGAAATTTAATGGTTAATGGCGAAATGGCAAATGGTCATTTATGCAGCCTGGTAAATGGTCTAAATAGCTATAAGCGTGGAGAGTAGCTTGCTAAAATTACGCACTGCGTTAGCCTACCATATATGATTATGAGCTCATGATATGATTCAACATAGTGAAACATGTCGGTTGAACCAGAGTGATATGATAAGGCAGGGCAGTTTAAATTATTGGGAAAAACAAATAAACAAGCATTTGCAACGAGTACACACATATGCTCAAGATATGCAGGACGACTGGTAAATGGCAACACAAACAAATATACGAACTTCATATTCATTGGTGTGAATGTAAAGTAACTAAACTAGTCTGTTTAATGTTTAATTAAAAGCTTAGTGAAAATAGAGATTAACTTACAAGTAAGTAGCCTACACGTGCTATATTATCGTAGCCAGTTATAGACCAGACCATCTATAGCGGTACAGTATCATTATCATGCAAGTAAAGATATTTATTCCCTCTTGCCTGCAGACATCGAAATGATATAACAGTCACGAATCTTGGTTGGCTAGGACAGCGGGGTTTACATTTAGTTAGGTGATTTACATTTGTCACAAGCGAGTCAGTGGTAAATTACGCAGTTGTTTTGCGAACGTCGTGTCTGAAGAACGCAGCGAAGACTAGATCCTCGGCTCGGTGGAAGACTAGATCCTCGGCTCGGTGGAAGACTAGATCCTCGGCTCGGTGGAAGACGGTTATTAATATTATTATCGCACTGCACTGCAGTGTTTTTTTGCTCCAGCAGCGCAGAGACGAGCTAGCTGTGTCGTAATCTCACGGGTGCCATACTATATACCGACGCGGGGCGGGCACATAAACGCGCGAACCTGTCGAGGCCCCACCAGGTGGCACGCGCGCGCACACACGCACACAGTCACACACACGCCTCAGCGGAAGTTAGAGACCGGCGAAGGTTAGAGACCGGCGAAAGTTACGCGGATTATACGCGTGGTGGCGGTAGTGTGCGCCTACCTATATATATGTGTGTGCGCGCGTATGTTTGTCGGGTTTATGAGAAGAGCCGGTGTGGGTGTAGTCTGCAGTGTTGTCGTGCGGATTGGTGTCAGTCAAGGAGTGTTGTTTCCCGTGTGAGGAGGGAGTCCGTGCTGAGAGAGAGAGAATCCGCGTGGGTGTAAAGCGCCGCTGTGCGGTCGTTAACCGCTCGTGTGAGAGTTGTCACACTGTCATCAATCCTCGGCATTGTCGGCGCTGATCGTGAAGGCTGCTGCTGCCTGCTGTATAGCCCTCGGACAGATCACGCTGTGTCGTGTGTACTGTGCGCGCGCGCGTTGCGTTCCCGCTGCACTGCAACTCGAATACGTCCTACCCGCACGAAGTTGGTGTGATTAGACGGTCAGCTCTCTGTCCGTGAAAGCCTGCGTGCGTAGTTGACTCTGGCGTTCGGCATGCATAGCAGCTGCGATAGGCAAGGACTGATGGAGAATGACGATATGCGCGTAGACGAAACGTACGAGGAAGATGAGGTGGAGGAGGTTGGGGAGGAGGAGGAAGAGATGAGCATGTGTCTGAACGTGCTGAGTCAGATAGGTCTATCCAGCGACATGGAGGACTGCATCTCGGCGACGTTATCCGGTGGGTCTTCGTCATATACTTACACCATGGTCGAAGAAACGGTCATAGCATAGAACTAAAACACCTGTGCATTGACCGTTAGCCTGCCGTATAACTAAACTTTGCTATTTGCAATTGACATTATTGTCTTGCTCAAACACATTTTCCAGTTTGGCTGACCAATTCCAAGATTTGGCATGCTGAAAACACAATAACTGTTAACTTAGATGCCAAAGAACATTCAGGATTAATATAGGAGCTCTTTCTAATGATATAACCTTTGATAGCCTACCGGTTCAAAATTTGTGCGACCCCTGCTTATTTTGCTCAAACTAGATATTTTCCATGTATTTATCAAATTGCAGAGATGAAAAACGCCACGTCAGTAGAATTCTTTTACTAATATTTAATTAATTTTTAATCAACTATGTAACCGCTTTTGCCCAATATTAATATTGGTTGTCCAAAATAAGGATTTGCTGAAATTCCTAGTGCGCAAGATTCCAAGTTTGGGTACAACAGAGCTAATTAACCAACGCTGTGCTGTGCTAAGGTTGATGTACTGCTCAATATATACTTTTCGCTTAATTTCCCACTAACATGTGATCTGTTGACAATGATATGGCAGGATTGTATGTTACGTTACCAACATTATTTGTCATTCTGTCTTTACTGCCACTCATCATGATCCTCTGTTGACACGGAAATGGCCGCATGTTCATATAAGATCAGGATAATCATAATAATAATATACGCCAGTTATAAGTCAATTTAATCTTGATAGCATGTTTCTCCTAATAGGACTGTCAGCCTCGTATGATTCATTACCATGCAGTATATATACCAGTTGGTTGGTAGTCGTAAATTTTTCTACGAGAAGAAAGAAAAATGAGACAACAGCCTTTTCGGTTCAAGGATAGAGATGATGTCCAGGACGGTGATAGGATAGGATGATGTTTATTACTGGACATGCTCTCTATCATTGAGCCCCGTTTTCGTATATGTACAGTTACATTGGCTATACAGTATGGATTTTCAATCAGTTGCCAGCACCTGAGCGTGCCCCTAAATGTGTATTCAGTCATCAGAGCATGAACCGTAGTGGTGATATAACATTTGCTTGATGCTCCCCGGTACATACAAATAAGCTCAAGGTCTCGCTGGAAATCCGCAACAATATGGTCGTAAAGTTGCTGCTGTCATATTATAATTAGAGACTGTAGAGAGCTTGCAAAAGGGGAAGCATGCTGGCTCAAAAGTGCGCGGTGGGCATATATATGGAATATATATGGTTGCTTTATACAATTGTGTGCAACGAGTATGTCTGTTGCGTCGATGCAACCTCAACCCCTTATTTTTTGCAGTCTGCAGCTTAGTGTCTATAAGGTCTAACAGATAATTTATGTTAGATATTCAAAGGGTATTCTTTGAAATTATGCAAATCTTAGAATAATGTATAGGCCTATATTATAGGATTTTATTGTAGATATTTGAAATTTTAATTTTGAAATAATTCCTTAATTAAATATTGACATGATCTCAATGTGTCACATAATCTTGCCTGTCATCTGGTGACATGTTCAAAAATTGAACAGTTCAGCTTGACAAAGACAACAGACAGGTTGGCGAAGCTATCACGTACGTCAGTAATAAATGTATGGTTCAGCTCGAAGTTGAAGTGTAACTTTTAACTTGCAAATTTCTGTATTTGTTCAGCTGTAGTTTCGTATGACGGTTGTTTTAGCGAAAGCAATTACCATCCTTATACGAGATCCTACTCTAATGTCATCAGTTCTGACAGCCTGGGCAGAATTTATGTATCCATGGTAACAATTCTGTGCAGTCTGTGTCATGCAGTCACTCTTTTTTCTAAAGCAGAGGAAATCTCTTAGTGCATTAGATAACTATAGGCTCACTGCAGTAATACCATGTTTTTAATAATCGTAACAGAATGTTGGTTAATATATGTTGATGATGATTGGCTCGTACAACAGCATAACAGCTTGATCGGCTGTCAATATGTAAAATATTTTACTTCTTCAGTACAATTCTTACTTCAAAACAGAGCATTAATAATTTTTTATTATAAACGGCTCTCATGAAAGGTGTTGTGAACATCATTCCTGAATGTGTTGTTAAACAAACGTTAACAAACGTGGTGGTTATTTGTTTTTAAATGGGGGTATCACTATGTAACCATTGCAACTGTATGTAATTTTTTCATAATACACCACTCGGAGATGCAATTGGCTCTCGTCCAGTGGGTGTCCTGGTTTTAAAATGGCAAAACTACATTTATCCCCATTAGAAATGTGTAAAAAATGGTGTCATCATTTACATATGGGGGAAAATGCCCCAAATCTTGAAATACATCTATTTCAAAATTCAAAAGCAACAAAATCTAAGACAGTTTTAGATATTTAAAATAACAGCCTGTCAGATTCAGAACCGAAAAGTGGACATGTACAGAGGAAACCGGATGGACTGTAGTCTTACGTGAAATCAAATGCGATAAAATTTAATTTATGAATACAGTGCACGTAAAGCACTGATACGGCTGTTAATCCAATATTATATATTATTGTTATATATTATATTATTATATTATATTATTGTTATATATATATTATGTTATATCCATTATATGTGTTAATCCAACTGAATTATGTACACTGATGTATATATATCGTATCTGCCCTATTTCAGCCCTATGTGGCGAGAGGTTGAGTCAGATGACCAAGACCTACGATGACATCAATGCTGTTACCCACCTGCTAGCTGAGGTGAGTGCTGAATTCATACTGCCTCCGCCCCCTACCTCGCCGTGGCCCACGTATAATACGGCATGCTCAGTGCTAGTCTTCTGTCTGATTTCCTGCGTTTGGAACATTACTGCTGTGAGGGGATCATCAGGGGAACTGTCTGCGACGAGATGCTTATGTGCTCCTGGTGTGCTTCAGTATTACAGCATTTATCTAAGGATTCTATTGCGTAATAATAACAGTGTATTAACACTGCTATTAATACCCTAGAGCAGAACTAATTTGGAGAGCTGCTGTTTGATGAATACGAAATACATAAATTCACATATAAGCCGGTAGATTTTGAACATAGTGACACCAAGTGAAAACTAGGTGTGTAGAAAAAACTTGGTTTCTTCATAAAAATGTTTTTGGTTACACGTAGGGGTGTTTCCTTAGAAATAGTAATTTAGGCAAGCATGTGATTTCGGTAGCTAACTGACTGTGAGCACACAACGTTTTATTAACACATTACCTTGAAGATTGATAGATCTTAAAAAAAAAAACACAGTAAAAAGACGTAAGTAAATATGGCAATACCATCCGTGAACGAACCGGTAAGTATACCACCTCTACAATATGAACAAGAGAATATGCGTTCTGTCCTCCTTCAAGCTGATATGCTAACCTCGATCGTTGGAGGGCCAAAGCTACCTTGTGCCTTAGCTGCAAGCTTGCATGCTGCTAGCTATAGCTTTGTCATTATTTATCATTCGGCATTTACCATAACGTAATGAGAATGTTAATTAATAATGATGGTGTATATCTATAGAGAAATTATTTAGGAGTTTTATGACACAATATTTGCATTGTACGAAGGTCTTCCGTAAGAAAGAGTGCATTTTTATTAGGACAAAATTTAAACATCGCAATCGGAAGCCTGTGGTTTGCACTTGAGTATTTGAACCACCTACTTCTGGTGTATACTGGCATACTCTGGTGAACTGAGAAGAAGTGCGTTCTTTTACGTGTTTTTAACGTTTTAATGGTAAACCAACATGTAGCTTCAAAGTGGTCAAATAATAGTTGTTTCAAAATGATCACTTGTTTTCATCTACAAGTTGTTCCCTCGCGTAGTGTCGCGTAATGATGTGCATCAGATTCTGCCTGTGGCAGAGATATCTTGATATCTTCAGGGTCGAGTGAATAATAATAGATTATTATTATTCACTCCTGATATCATGTATCCAATGCCGTCTCCATATCTCTGCTCTGAAATTAAACATGGCCAGACCATATTCCTTCATTGATTTTAGCCTCACCATATTTATAAACCGTAGAATTTTAACAATTAATAACCCTAATCCTATTTACCACAGGTAAACTGTGCTAGGAAGAATAGTGCACCACATTGATCATTTGATCATATTAAATGTGTGTTGGCATAAAATCTGCTGTATTCGTACTGGTCTTGTTGCATACTTCCTAGTTACGCTTGGATTTTTTTTGTAAATTGGGCGTTTACTGTAGATATTGCAGTGCAGAAAACATCCTGTTTAAATAGCTGTAGATTATGCCACTGATAGTGATAAGCGTAGCCATTGTTGGTCAAAGAAGATAATGTTACGGTTGTTATCGCATTTGGAAATAAAGTTGTTTACCCATCTATTCACAAGCGGTGTATGATTAAAAACACAAAGCCTGCCTAAACATAAACCTAATACGTAAACGGTATCTCAGTCTTATTATATATCAAGATAATTAATTGAAATTGAAATTTAATATGAAGATTTTGACGAAAACAGGCCTATAGGTGAAGTCTGCCTAATCAGCTTATGCGTTCGAGTTATATACAAATCAGAAGTAGATAATAGGGAATTCCCCTACACAAGCGCAACATTTGTATCAGAAGTAGATAATATAGGGGATTCCCCTACACAAGCGCAACATTTGTATCAGAAGTAG